CTTCCTCAAAGCCCCTCACCAGGCCTTCGTCCCTCGGTGGGAGTGATGTGTGCGTCAGTGTGGGAGTCAGAGACTGATGCCCCATAGCAGCAAGAGAAGCAAGGTCCAGCCTTCTGGGTGGTCTGGAAGGATTTTCCCAGCTCAGCTTCCCAGCTGTGGCCACAGCAGACACCTTTCTTCTCTTTCCTTTTTGCAGGAAGGGGTAGGGAGAGAATTGGATGCTCCAAGCATACCAGAGATGAGGGAGAACGGGCAGAGGGAGGACATTGCGTTTAAAGATCAGGGGTTCTTTGTCCGAGGATGGGCTCAGGGGCCTGAGGACACCCCGGTAATCGCAGCCAAATGTTGTGCATGTGGGCATTTTTCTGGGGAGAAGTTCTTGAACTTTCCGGAGATCCTCAAAGGAGTTCCACGAGCCAAAAAAACTTTCAGAAGCTCTGGCCTGGAATTTCAACTTTTCCCTGACTCAGGCTTCCCACTCCCCGGTTACTCAGAGCTGGTGAAGTGTTGCTGTGTAGTCAGAGCCCGCGAGTGTGAAATATCAAATGCTCATTACATGACGTCGGGGGGAAACTTAGTCTGCTTAGCAAGTCTATTTTGTTGTTTCGTGTGAGAAGTCTCTGTGCCAAACAGATGCCCGGGAAAACGGTCTGATTAATGACGCTGCTTCCTTTTTCCCCTCCCCCAACCCCCCACAGGGCCCGGGATGGCACTCTCGGTGACAGGGCTCACTGTCTTCTCTCTCCTGCAAACTGCCCTCTCCCTGAACCCCGAGGACCCCAACGTGTGCAGCCACTGGGAGAGGTAAGATGTGGATCTCAGATGTCCAGGCACTCCCCGAGGGCCTCACCCTGGGCTTGGCACTGTTGGGACAAAAGCGGAGTCGGGAGGTACAGAAGCTGCCCACCGTGGGCCTGTGGTCCAGCTGGGGACACAGCACAGACGCTGGAAGACAGGACAAAGCAGTATGGATTCTGTCTGGGACTCAGGGCTGATGGAGGGGGTTGACTTAGTGATGCAGTGTGATAGATGACAACGAACTCCAGTCCCTCCCCGCACTGGCCCTCCCTGACCATTTTCCAGAGGCCCAGCGGGGCTCAGTGCCCGTCCACAGGCAGGTGGGGTGCGGTGAGTGACCGCAATCCGGATGTGCTATTCTCCGATGCTGAGATGCCGTTGCTGCTGCTTCCCGCCTGGTGTGGGCAGGAGGGGACCAGGGGAAGAGCGGCCCGGGGCCTCTGCAGAAGAGCTGGCTGCATCCTGGCTGCAGTACTGGGTCCGTGGGGAATGGGCCAGGGCCCTGCAGACAGCCTGACTTTGAAGTACAAGGTTAAAGTATTGATTTTGGTGAGCAGAAAGATAGTGACCGGAGACCCAATCAGGAAAAACCGAATTAAACCCTGGAATTGATTGGCCGCGCTGACCAGGACGACTCTGCCACTTAGATGTTAATAAATCAAATGAATAAAATTAAGATGAGGGCCCGGTGGGGGAGGCAGATGGTAGAGGACAGGCGAGTGGGGCTGGCCGTGCTCCGTGCTTGCGAGGGTGAATGTCCCGGCCCCACGACAGGGAAAGGCACCCCCGTCCAGGCCACCCCAGGCCCTGGAGGGATGAGGGTCTGGGGGCGCAGAGGGAGTGCCCCTACGCCAGTATGCGCATGTGCGGCAGTGACTGGGCGCTCTGTGGGGGTCCCCACAGAGTCCGCTGGAGCAAACCGACACCTGTTAGGTGCAGTGGGAAGAACACAAGGTCTGTAACGAGAAGACCTTGGTTCACTCCAGTCTGGATCCTGTCACCTGGCAGTTGTAGGACTTTGGGGCAGTGTCTGAACCAGCCTGAGGCTGCTTCCCCACTGTCAAGTGGGGGAGAATAATTACCCTGGCCTCACAGGCACGTTGGAGGATCGGGGTACCAGTGTCACGAAAGGGCTTTCGCGACCGCAAAAGTCGATTGTTGTCTTTTCTTGGTGACGCCCCTGGCTTTGCAGGAACCGGTTCTCACAGACTTTAAAGCACATCGGGCTCACCGGAGGTGGGCATGGAAAACGGAGTGTTCTGGGTCCTGGCCCCGGAGACTCTGATTCTACAGGTCTGGGGTAGAGCCTAGGGATATGCATTTTTCATAAGCTTTCCACATGGCTCTGAGGTGACTCAGGCTTCTTGCCCTTCTGGTCTTGGTGAATTTAAACCTTTCTTTCCCAGAGGGTGAGAGAGCTGTCAGGTGAAGTTGCACACTAGCCTCCCTGGTTGACAGATCCCAGCCTCGACAGCCCCCTACTATCCACGTGATCCGAGGCTGAGACATAGTTGCTTCCTGAGGATGGCTGTGCTATGTCCCCACCTCCAGGATACCTCCTCCCGTCTGCCCTTCTCTGCCTTCCCCAGCTCCTCTAACTGGGCCCTCTCCTCCAGGGAGCCTTCCCTGATGGCAGGGCCCATCCTCACTTCCCTCTTCTGAGTCCCAACTGTGGATCTGTTCAAACTGAAACCAAATTCTCTAATTTCCTAACCGCCCCCCCCCCCCGCCCTCCCCGCGACATTAATAAACTGGGAATAGGCAAATACTCTGAACTGAGCTTGCACTGAGCTGGCATTTCAGGCTGATTGGGCTATCAGCAGAGGTGATCATTTGATGGGAGGACAAGGACAGACCCTATGGCTAAAGTGAGGTCTGGGGGCCCCTGGTGCTTCTCCAACCCTTAAGGGGGAGGAGGCCTCGCAGACAGTGCCCCATGACACCAGGTGCCTTCTTCTTCTTGGCTTGTCCACCTGAGCTCCACTGCGTACTACATATGGACAGATTTAGTCTGCATCATTCCAGAAACACGCCCTGGTCCCCAGAGACCGCTTAGGGAGACTTTCTCAGCTGGATTAGTGCTTCTGGCGGGCTCCTTGTTAATTATGCCCCTCCACCATAAAACCCAGCGGAAAGACCTCCCCTGGCTGGTAAAGCCCAGTTCTACAAGATTAATCTGGTTCTTCATTAGCATATTGGCAAGCAAGCGTGTTAAACCGCCCAGCCATGAAACCAGGGGCACACTCTTCGCCCCGGAGACTTGGAATTGATTCAAGGTCTCACTGCCAGACTCACTCGGCCCAGGGGACCCCCTGCAGAGCTGGGACCGTTCCCCCCATGATACTCTCCTCACCCGTCTGTCGGGCTGATGCCTCTTCTCTGAGCACCCACTGTCTGTGTCGGGACGGGAAGGGGTGCCTGAGTCCCCGAGTGCGTAGCCAAGGTGGGGTGCCCATTCTTCGTGTGGTCTTGCTCCTCCTCTCCCCGCCACAGCCAGGGAGGAAATACCTCAATGTGTAGCACAGGAGGTGAACCATTGCAGTCGTGTAGCAATGGTGGCCAGCGTCTATTGGACGCTTACGGTGCACCCATGAAAAATTTTACGTGTGTTATCTTGTGCTGACAATTTTACTTGTTATCTTACTTTATCTTCCCACCACCCTGAGAGATGGACACTCTTGTTGCCTTTCTTAGTCCTCACAGTAACTGCGCCAAGTCCTTGGCAGTATTTGCCATGGATTTACAGGTGAGGAAACGGAGCCTTCCGTGAGTTACATAACATGTCTGAGGACGTGCGGCTAACGAGTGACAGGGTTCGAAGGTGACCCGGAGCCCACGCACGCTTATCCAGTCATTCTTCTGCCCTAAGTGAGGTAGTCAGTAGCCCTGTGGGAGCATAGGATCGTGGAATTTCAGAGTTGGAAGGGGCCCGTGGGAGGTCAGGGGTAGGTGCCGAGCTGCCTCCGTGTCCCCAAGCCTGGAGATGAAAAAGGGTTTGTGGCCCATGTCTGCGCAGATGTGTGCCTCTGTCTCCGATTGCTGCTTGCCGGCTGATAGAGGCTCAGCAGGGACCCTCATATCCTCAGTGCTTCAAAGAGCCAGAGAATTTCCCAGCACCCTGAGTCCCTGGGCCTTGCTGACTGCTCCTGGCCCCGCTTTCTGAATTTTAGATCTTTGACCTTTCGGGCATCAGAGAGCCTGCTGTGGACCCACTCGGGGAGCTGGCCTGCTCAGCCCCCTTGCAAGCAAACCAAGAGCTTCCTCAGGCAAAGCAGACGGGCTTTTATAGCCTGGATCTAGCCATCTGGCCCAGGTCAGTGAGCCGTCTGGGGGGAAGCGGTGAGGAATACCAACCTACATAAAAATGAATTCCTGAAATCTCAGCTGGGGCCCTCTCCCAGCCTGCACAGCAAGCATGAATCTTCCCTTCAGCATCCCGGCTCGACCGCCTTTTCATACAACTCCCGGCAGGGGTGGGCAGGTAGAAAGACATATGGGTCAGGCTGAGATCTGCCCCCCTCTGTGACTTCCACCCACTGTTCGGGTTTACAGCCAGGCAGGCAGGATGAGGTACTACTTGGATTAGGGGATCTGGGGCATGTCCTTGATGCTCCCCCAGCTATCCCGGAGACAAAAGAGAGCGGAAGGTAAGTGACCTTGGGGAGGTCACTTGGTCTCTGTGATGTTCATTGTCCCTGTTTGTAAAATGAGGCTAGCAGTGCCACCTGTCTTAGAAGATTGTGAGGATTAAAATGGACTCAAACACTTAACACAGGGCCTTTAATGAGTATTCGCAGTTATCGGTACCAGCTGCGTGGCCCGGGCAACCGGCCTCTCCCTGAGCCTTAGTCTTTTTCAGCTGTGAAATGGGACCACTTTGCTATAAGGATCGGCTTCCCTGTAGACGCTTTGAAAACCATAAAGATCCACACAAAGTATTTTGAATCTTGTTGGCTCTGCCTTCCAGAGCCACGTAGAATAAACCTAAACTCTGCTTCGTTCATTCTCTGATAAATGAACTGGAATTTCAGAAAATGAACCGGGCCCAAGGGCAATAAGGGATGTGCCTTGGATCCAGCCTGGGGTCGGGGAGGTTTGACTGCTGAGGGCATGCAGGGCAGGAGGAGGATAGCGGGGTGAGGGGAGGTTTGAGCCCCTGGACACGTGGCTGTGGGCCCGGCTCCCCTGGGGAAGGAGACCCCATACCAGCTCAGCGTCTCAAGTGCTGACCATAGCTTCTTCGTCCTCCCGCCTGACTTTCAGCTATGCGGTGACCGTCCAGGAGTCCTATGCACACCCCTTCGACCAGATCTACTACACGCGGTGCACAGATATCCTCAGCTGGTTCAAGTGCACCAGGCACCGGTGAGTACCTCTGTCGGGGGGTGGGCTGGGGAGGGGGTGCTGGGCCCTCAGGGTGTGGCTTTGTGCCAGGTAGTAAGAGTCTCCTGTAGCAGCCGTAGTCAATGCACTGCCGTCTGAGAGTCCCTGCTGAGGGCTTCTATCTGGCCAGAGAAGCTTATGGGCAGGGTAGGGCAGAAGTGCTAGAGAATTCCTGCCCTTGGGGGCGTCTCTCACCCAACGAGAGATGGGGAGTTGGTGGATAAATCCCCGGGTTCCCTCACTGGAGGGTAGAGGGGAAAACTTTGAGGCATATTCTACACATATCCCAGCATACCCTGAATTGGCTGCCTTTTCCACCCTCTTTTTCCCTCTCCCCTCCCAGGGCTTCCTTACATTACCTCCCAAATAAACTCCTTGTCCTTGAATCTTTGCCTCAGGGTCAGCTTCAAGGGGAAATACAACCTAAGACAGAAACCTCAGAGCAGGGGTAGCCCCATGCCAGGGCATCTGGTTTGGAGAACTGAGCTCAGGATAGGACTTGGCACCCCCTCGGCACCTTGGCCAGGCTGCCCATGGGAGACACTCAGTCTAAATGACTGCACGGGGCTCCTGCTCCCTTGTCTGCAGCGCCCCCCGCAGGTCACGCCGTTCTCTCATGTTGCTGGGGGAGAGAGGAGAGGAAGGAAGAGAACACGTTTTGTTGGATGACCCCAGGCAAGCTGCTTTATTTTGGGATTCCCAGTGTACTCATCAAACATACAGTGATCCTTGCCCTGCCTACTCACAGGGTCCAGTGAGGTCAGGGATGTGAAAATACTGGGAAAAATACAGGGGAAGATGGAAAAAAGTGAGCTGTTAGATCCGGGCAAGGTGGCACTATTATCTGAGGGTAAGAGGGGGAATGAGGGGGACGCCATCCCTTAGGTTTCTTTCCTAGTTGCTCAGCATCTGTGTTGGTTTCAGATTCCTTTTGCTTCCTCCTCCTGGGCCTAGTGCCTCTTTGTGGTTTATGCCTAAATCACGGTGGGTAGCAATGTGGCTGGGGAAATTTGCTCTACGCTGAAAAGCCAAAGTCCTGGTTTTCATGTCTGAGCGTAGGACACGATAGCTGCTTTTAAAACCCTTACTGGCTAATTCCAACATCTGGGCCACTTCAGGGTTGGTCTTCATGGGTTGTCTTTTCTTTAATATAAGTGATATTTTCTAGTTTCCTTTTTCTTGAGAGAGTGAGCGAGAGAGAGAGAGAGTGAGAGAGAGCGTGAGTGAGCATGTGTGAGAAGGGAAGGGGCAGAGGGAGAGAGAGAGAAAGAGAGAGACAGAGAGAGAGAGAGAATCTTAAGTAGGCTCCGTGCCTAGCATGGAGCCTGACACAGGGCTCTATTTCACAACCCTAAGTTCATGACCTGAGCCAAAACCAAGAGTCAGACACCTAACTGGCTGAGCCACCCCGGCGCCCCTCCAGTTTCTTCTTGTGTCTAGTAATTTTGAATTATATTCTGGGCATTATAAACAGAGACTGTAGAGACTGAGTTCTGTTATGTTCCACCTGAGAGTATTGATTTGTTGTTGTTGTTGTTATTGTTTTGTTTTAGCTATCAGTTAACCTGGCTACAATCAATTTCCCGTTCAGTATTTTTAGTCTTAGCTGGACTGTGTGGGACCTGTCCTCCACACACATAATTCAGGGGCCAGGAGTTTGGATAGAGACTTTTTTTTTTTTTTTTTTTTTCAACGTTTATTTATTTTTGGGACATGAGGCAGGCGAGAGCGGGAGGGCAGAGAGAGAGGGAGACACAGGAATCGGGAACAGGCCAGGCTCTGAGCCATCAGCCCAGAGCCCGACGCGGGGCTCGAACTCACGGACCGCGAGATCGTGACCTGGCCGAAGTCGGATGGACAGAGACTTTTGTAACGAATATGGGGCTTCCTCTTTGCTGTTCTTTTTTCTGAGCGGGGTTTCAATTTTCACTTTTCAAGTTGCTGGACTTGTCTTGTGGTGCTTCAAACCAGTAAGGCCGGGTGCCTTCTCTGAATTGCAGTCAACTGTAGTCCTTGTTGATCAAGTTCCGAACTGGGCTCAACTTGCCCAGTGTCATTTCCTTTTTCCCAAGTGTGTATTTCCCTCCAGGATCCACCTTTGTTCTCTCTCTAGCGCCCTCTGGTAGTTGTTTTTTTATATTTCCCCCAGATTTCATAGTTGTTTGCAGGAAGGTTGGCCCAATGGGAGCTAGTCAGCCATTATTGCATCCCCTTCCCCTCGCCCTTGACTGTGAAATGAGGAGGTGGGGCCCAATTCCCCCTTCCAACTTCCTCAGCTGTGGCAAGGTAGCCGCGCGTGTGGCCCCAGCCAAAGGTGGAGGCAGAAATAGAAGCCCCGCTCCCTCCATGAGCCCTGTCAGGCCCTGTGCCAGAGTCAAGTTTGCTCTGAGGTGTGGCTCTGTTGGGTTCTTGGAGGCCAGGGCTACTATCCATCAGCGCCGGGGGGAAGGTGAGTGAGTGGCTGCTTATTAAAATAGGCTGCATTCCTGGAACATGAATTATTTTGCTAAATCATTGAGTCGCCTTGCAGCTTTCCTGATGACCTAGAGTGTGCATGCTGACAGCTGCACCATCAGTCTGCCTCAGTGCAGAATGGTTTGTTTAAAGGTAGCACCCTTCTCCCGACAGCCTGGGCCCTGGCCCCTTCCCTCTCCTGCTTCCCACCCCGGTGCTGGGAGCAAGCAAGGGTCTCCCAGACCAAAGCCATGGGAGACATCTCCGTCCCGGCAGGCTTTCACGGTGCCAAGACCACCCACCCCCCGCCACTGGAAGAGCTGAGGGATAAGCCTGTGTGGTACGGCGACCGGGTTGGGTGAAATCTAAGCCAGCCCTACCTCGTTCTTTATCTGAGAGGCCTACACCACCCCTGAAATTGCCAGGAGCTGCCTTCCTGTGCCACGGAAGTAGCCTTACTGTGAGGCCGGCTTACTTCCCATTATGGGCTTTTGACAAAGTAGAATGCCCTTAGTTTACGACATTCCCAAATATCATAGATTTCCCCAGAAGCCCTGCACTGTCATTTGTCATTAAGCGAGGGCTTTAAGGACTGGGAGGGCTGGCCCAGCCTGTGCAGTGGGACTCCCTTCCTACGTTGGTCTAACCCTCCATGGAAAGCGGGCTGTAGGCGTCTCCCATGTCTGGTCCCTGATGCTCTGCCCACTGAGGAGGGGTCTGCAGGGAAGGCTCCCCTGGGGTGTTGGTGGGGGAAGTGAAGGGGCTCTGGCTTCAAGGCCCAAGGACTTGGGGTTGAGTCGTAGTCACATGTCATGACCTTGGGGAGTTACTTCCTCTCTCTGGCCTTTAATGGCCATTTCAGTCTCTTCCATTTTGACCCTGTGTGTGAGGAAGGGGCTTTGCCTGTCAGTACCCCATTTTGACTCCCTCTTAAGGACTCATTCCGCCCACCATCCATTTACCTGGTCTTCCTCCTCACTCTGGCCTTCCTGTATGGCCAGCCAGCCGCCCTGTGGGAACTGGCACAGGACAATAAGGGAAACCTGGGGGCACTGAAATTAGACTGATTTGGGTTCGAATCTTGGCTCTGAAACTGATCCATTGACCTTGAGCGAGTCATTAACTTCTCTGAATACCAGTTTTCTCATCCATAAAACAGAAGAGGGATACATAAGACAAGAATAAAAAACCCTAAAAAGGAAATAAAATAAAGGTGACATAGTAATGCTACCTGCCTCGGGCAGAGAATGGAATGAGATTTCGCCTATAAATCTCTGGCACAGGAGGAAGTGTCAACATCTGTGTCAGCAGAAGAATGGGAATGCGAGTCTCTGACTTCCAGTCCAGAGTTCCTGCTCCCTGGGCCTTAGTTTCTTCCTCTGCAGAGCCAGCGGTCAGTTCTGAGCCTTCCGAGGGCCGAGGACATGTTATTTTGGGGTGACGGAGGTTAATCTGCTTCCTGGGACCGAGTCAGACTCGGGGGGCCCTTTGTTGACCCCGTTTTGGTTCTCCAGGTGTGGGGACCAGTCCCTAGGAGGCCGTGAGCAGTCTGCTTGTTGGGGCAGACACTCTCGGGGCCCACACCTCCGGTCTGGGTCACCCTATGAGCTCCTCTGGGGGTCTTTAGGAGAGCCCCTCCACCCCCCGCCCCGGTCACCTTCCACAAGTACCCCAGAAAGTATCTTCCGAAACCCTGTTCGATATCACGCTGAAGAGACCTGGGAAAGTCAGCAGGTGTAGCAAACGCCGCGTCAGTAATACATTCTGCATCACAATGGCCCAGATGCAGCCATCGATTTTTCTTTATTGTGTTCCTTCATATTTGAAGCCGCCATGCATTTTAAAGTAATTATTGAATGGCATCCTCCATGTGGCTTAACACAAATATCATTCTAACGGGAGTGATTGATTTTCAATACTTTCAAGTGGCTTTCTCCCTTGTGCCTTAGGATCAGTTACAAGACGGCGTATCGGCGTGGCCTCCGGACCATGTACCGGCGCAGGTCCCAGTGTTGCCCTGGCTACTACGAGAATGGAGACTTCTGCATACGTACGTAGGGGCCGCCTCTGTTCTGGCCTCACTGGGGCTGGGAGGCGAGGGGAGAGAACAGAGAAGGGAGGTAAGCAGGCCTCAGCCGACCCGAGGGCTCCAGAAGTCCCTGCCTGCTGCTGGCTCTGAGGGGATCATGGGTCTGGTATAAACACATTGCGTGGGATCGCATGGGAACACGTGGATCACATGGGATCAATGGAAGCAGGTCAGTTCCAGGCTTTGGTGGGGTCAGGAGAGAAGTGGACCCTTCCGGAGAGGGTGCTCTGAGGAGCAGTGGGGAAGAAGGGCTGAGTGGCTGGTACAGATCTGAAGGGCTCCAGAAGGCTTTGTCGGATGGAAGGAGACTTGAATGGATAAACGGTGACGAGATGGATGAGTGGATGGATGGATGGACGGATGGATAGAGATTGGAAGGGAGGAAGGAAGGCAAGCTGGATCATTGGATAGCAAGACCATAGTACCTAGAAGGAGGACAGCAAGAGCGAGACAGATCACAGAGGGCCGGTTCCGGGAAGTGGGGGGGTTTCCAAAACTGATCGGGAGACACTGAAAACAAGGGGGGTGCATGAAAGACACATGGAACCTCTCCCCCTGTTTGTCTGCAGTGGCTCAGTGCTCTTGGTGTCCCCAGAGAGTCAAGGGCTGAGTTTCTGGCAGCTTCAGGCCCTCTGGGTGGGGGTGGGGGAGCAGTTCTGTGCAGTGGGAGATACCCAGGAACCTGCAGATCTGAGTTCTGGTCCCAGCTTCTGAGGCATGTGGCTTTGGGCAAGTCATTTAACCTCTCAGGAAGAATGACTCCAGGGCCCTGTTGGAGTCTAATGGACTCTTTCCCACCACCTCTGACGGGTGTAATGGGGCCAGGATGGGGCTCTCCTGTGGGCAGTAGAGGGTTGCCACTGTGGGAGAGTGTCAGAGAAGCTGGGAGCCCCCCACTATTAATGACAGAGGGGAATCCACCCCCAAAACTTCTGCCTCTTCATTTGGAGGCAGACTTGGAGAGTGATGTTCCTTGTTAGCATTCTCCTTGCCCTTTGGGTGGGTAGAGTGAGCCAGCACCAGAGAGACAGTTTGGGCAGGGTGGGCGTGTTGGTGTTGGGAACGAAATGACAATTTTCCCCTGCTGATGTTACGTATCCCCTCTTGCTGGAGAAACTCGATTCTAATTGCATTACAGGAACGAATGAAAAATGCTCCCACAGATGCGTTCACTGATGATGGTTTTGCAGGAAAAATACAAAGATACCCAAAGCCATCCCCAAAATGCTGTTTCTCAGGAGCAGGGCAGAGGACCGGGCTGGGACAAGGCCTTGGCTGGCACGTCACCTGGGATGGGGTTCCTATGGGGACCTGGGTGTAGATGTGAGATCGAGACCAAGCTTTACTGCTGTTCTGTCTGCCTGGAGGAGAGCGAGAGCCAGGCATGGGGGGGGGGGTGACAGAGGACTCATAAAGCCTAAGCAGAATGGATGTGAGTGGCCCTTCGGGGCTCAGGGCACCAAGATGGACCCAGGGAAATGATAGAGGGAATTCAGATGTCAGCACGGGGCTCCAGGAACAGATGAGCACATTTCTTTTCTAATTTCCATTAGCGGGTGTTGGTAAAGCTCTTGGAAAATGAAGACCAGGGCAGAAACACTAAGTGTCCTGATTGCACAGGCCCGGTCTTGCTGACTGGGAACGGCAGCTTGTCACCTCCTACCTACTCCTTATGTAACGGCCAGGTACTGCCTGCTGAGCTGGTGGCCACAGGCCAGGCCACCTCCAGAAAGCCAGTGAGAAAAGCCAACTTTAGGACTGAAGGCTTTTTCTGAAGGGGGACAGGAGAGTTTCAGCAGTGGGATGGGGCACTGGGGCATGCGGGGTGCTGGTAGTGCTGACCCAGAGGGGCAAGAGTCACACAGGCCTAGGTTTGAGTCTCAGCTCTGTCCCTCCCAGCTTCTTCCTCTTTATGCTCCTCCTCATCCACTTCAGAGCACACCCCCTGCGCCAGGCGCCGTTCCGGTCACTTCATGTGCATTAATGGATCAGCGTCTCACAACAGCCCTCTGAAGTAGGTACTCTTACTTCTCCTATCTTATAGATGGAGAAACTGAGTCACAGAGTGAGTAAGTAACTTGACCAGGGTCGTACAGCTAGGAAGTGGCAGAACAGGGATTTGAACCTAGGTTGTCTGGCTCTGGAGGCTGCTGTGAACCTCTCAGATGGGCTGCTGCCCTCTCTGTGAGCCTAGGCAAGACGTCACCTCTTGGAACCTCAGTTTCCACTCATGTAAAATGGGGATAGTAATAACCTCTACCGCCAGACACAGGGTAGGGGCTTAAAAAATGTCAGCTCCCTTACTCCATGGCTTTGGGTCTTAACATTTTTTCACTCTTGGCTTTTGTTTTAATTCTCCAGATCACCATGGACCCTCTCCCTGGGAAAATGCACATGACATATATAAACCTATGTCATACACACAGCCCTTCCTTTGCACACAGTTGCAGTGGGTTCATGGATCCCTCACATCCCTCAGAGTCTTTGAAACCCTGGTAAATCATTTCTGCCATGTGTTCATGTTTATCCATTCGATTGACACTGTCGCTTGTCGACTTGTTGCCTACGCACTTGGGTGCGCACGAGAGATGGTTGCTACCCCGAGGGGCTTGCAGCCCTAGCAGAAAGAGATGATCTGGCACACAGATACATGCCCCCAGAGTTGCAGATGCTTCAACGAGCATCTTGATAAAGTAGAACCGAGTGGAATGGAGAGACTGTCTTCTTCAGCCATGTCCACTTAGCGAGAGTTAATGAGACGTCAGCTCTTGACAGAAGCGTGACGGGAGAAGCCCTTGAAGGGTGTGCCACCAGCATTTATTAGACGCCTATCATGGCCCACCCACGGTGCTGTACCTTGGGATAGAAGAGGTGTGGTAGAAATAGCTCCTGCCCTCGTGGAACCTACGGTCTTGTTGGGAAGGCCAGGCCACATGCAGAAAAATCTGTGGACAACAGCCAGACAAGAATGTGGGGAGGAACACACAGACCGGACACGCTAGGCGGGAGACCATGCTGTGACCTGCTGTCACTCGGGGGGCTTCGTGAGGGTTTGGGCTGGATGGAATGGTATCTTTGGGTGTGGTTGGGAGAGAGGGAACCCCATCAGCAAAGGCATGGAGGCAGCTGGCCTGAGACCACGGGGGTGGGGGTGGGGTGGGGGAGGCAGATCTGGCTGGGGGAGGGGTTGGGGGAGGCAGTCATTCATTTCCCAGGGCCGCCCTTGCAAAGCAGCACTGCCTGGCGGGCTTCCCCACCAGGAGTGTGCTGGCTCACCCCTCTGGAGGCTGCAAGTCCCAATCTGGATGTCAGCAGGGTTGCTTCCTTCTGAGGGCTGTGACCGGAGATCTGTTCCAGGCCCCTCTCCTTGCTTCTGGTAACTCCATTCCTCACACAGCCTTCTCTGTGTGTGTGTGTCTCTCTAGGTTTCCCCTTTTTGTAAGGACACCAGTCAGATTGGATGAGAGCCCACCCGAATGACCTTGTTTTAACTTGATTACCTCTATAAGACCCTATCTTCAAATAAGGTCACATTCTGAAGATTTGGGGGTTAGGCCTCCAATATATGAATTTTAGGGAGGGAGACAGTTGAACCCGTAAACGGGTGAGTGTTGGCCATTACTAGCATTCTCTCGTTCCCGCTTATTGCAATGGGAAGAAAGGAGGGGGACCAGCCAGCCCTCACACAGGCTTTGCCAGCCGTCCGGGAGCGAGTGGCGACCCCAGGGGCAGGGAACTTGCATGAGGGAGAAATGGTAGCGGGCAAGTGAGGGATTGTGCCCAGGGTGCCAGATGAGAAGCTTTGCAAACCCAGAAGAAGCATTCAGGAGTCGATGCCCTGCGGCCCCCTCCCTCTCCAGTTCTCCTTCTCCACCCCTTGGGGACCAGAGAAACTCCCAAGTTCACCAGAACCTGGTGAGAACCCATCTAATGCCTCAGGACTGAGGCACGAGCATATTACCCATGCTCTGGGTAGGGGTAGGAGGGCATCATCTTCCCTCCAAACGACCTTTTTGGAGCCCGTTTCTTAGCAGATAGTAGGAGGACACCGGCCCGGGAGTAAAAGCCATGGCTGACTCTGCCACCAGCTAGATGTGCAGTCTTGGGCGAGTCGCTTTGCCTCTCTGGACCCCCCCGTGGCATAGGATGGATCATCCCTGTGGGTGGAAGGAATAAAGATGAAACCGTGAGCGAACACGTCCTGAAATGCATAGAGCTTGATACATGCGTGGTGGCACTACTTTTTCTCTTCTTTGTGCCATTTCCTCTGCCCCAGAACTGCCATCCATATCCCAGAGGCCTTGGCAGCCCTTCTAGAACCTTCTGCACCAGAACTGCCCACCCTGTCCCTTAGCTACAGATACAGCTGAGTCCCATGTTTCCTAAGGATCATCGGACCCAAATGGCACTTCTCTCTTTCTCCTTTCTCGTGAGATAGGCCAGAGGGCACCTTTGCCTCACAGAGCCAGTTTTGTCACGTAGGCGGTGGTGTTTGAGATATTTGGGGAAACTCTGCTCTTTGAAAACGTTAGGCTGTATCAGACTAGATGGGCTTGGTTATGATGCAGTAACAAACACCCCGAATCCCAGTGGCTTAAAACAATAGACTTTTCTTCCTTGCTCATTTTGCATGACCACTGTTGGCTGGCTGGGGCCTGCTCGCCCCAGGACCCAGGCTGCTGGAGCACGAATTTTGCAGTGTTGCTGGTTGCCATGGCAGAGAGAAGAGGGCTCTGGCGGGTCAGAAATATTTAGTGAGCAGTATTAGGGCTTATCACCCTACAGATGCCGTGGTAATCACAATTCACTCATGTGTGTTCTCGAACACCTGATAACCTAGTAGAAGATTCCCCTGGAAGACACGTTTGAACACAGACTCACTGAGCCCCAGCCCGAGTCTCAGATTCAGAAGATTGGAGCTGGGCAGCTAGAGAATGTGCTTCTCTAACAAGTTCCCAGGT